CCACGTGTCTTGACATGTGAGATCTTGATTACGGGGATCTAATAAGCCATTGCCTGCAACTTCGCAGAAGTGGCGCCGTAGCCTAGCGGTCTAGTAGTAGGCACTTCGCGACGAGCAACGGAAGTTCGACTCCCGACCTAGTCGGGGTGTTTTGCAATGAACGTGTAGTAGCTCCTCAACAACCCTAGCGGCTCCGCAAGTAGCAGAATGAAACTCCGAGTTTCAGAAACGAGACTCGGAGTCAACTCTGAGTTTCAAAACGAAACTCTGAGTTAACGCGCAGCTTTAAACTCGGAGTTCCGACCAGATTACTACCGGGCCAGATCTCTCTGCAGGAACATAGGTAGTCTTACATTTTGTATGCGTAATCAAAACCTGGCTATTATAGGGATAACTGAAAGCTGGTTGAGTGATGAAGTCAGCGACAGCTCTCTATTTGGTAATTTTGATAATTTTGTCATTCATAGGTGCGATAGAGTTGGTAAAAGAGGAGGGGGTGTAACTCTTATGATCCGATGCAATCAAATCCAAATCTTGTGTTCAGTGAATTAGTAGCAGATAGCTACGAGATACTTTGTGTTGATATCCTCGCTTATGTCTCAGTGCGTATCATTTTAGTGTACAGAGCCCCCTCCTGCAGTGTAAACAAAACTGAACAAATGATAAAAGCCATCACAGATCTTTTGGGTTGCAGTAAAGCTTTGGTCCTTATGGGTGACTTTAACTTTCGTGGTATTGATTGGGCAGCCTAACCCACAACCAAGGGTGGCACAGCTTCAAGAAATTTCTTGAACATGTGTCAGTTATACGGATTATCACAGAAAATACATTCCCATACATTGGGACAGAATCTCCTAAACCTAGTTTTAACAAATGATAAAGACTTAATCAAAAGGGTTCGAGTTGAGGCGCCATTGGGGTTAAGTGATCATGCAACAGTTAGATTCTTACTCAAACACTACGCTGGTCGCACGGAGCATATTATACGGAGAAACTATAAACATGCAGACTGGGACAATTTGATTAAATACTTAGCTGATATAGATTGGTATGGATCTTTCAATTCAGTTAATAACATTAACGATATGTATGAATTATTTTTATTCATTCTGCACCATGGCATTGATAGATACGTTCCCATGGTTTCAGTTCCACCAAAAACCATTTACCTTCCCAGCTATCTTCGGGAATTATATGAGAGAAGAGAGCATGCATGGAAAAGAGTAGTGCATGGTGGGAGCAATGAGAATTGGAGCGAGTATATTAGAATGAACACTATTTTCACCAAAAGGCTTAGGAAATACAACGCTTCTGTTGAAAGGAAAATAGTCCAGTCGCGGAAGAAGGCCCATTTTTTCAGTTCGATCAGTTCTAGACTTAAACAAAAGAGTAAGATCGGAGTAATTGTAGATGAGAACGGGACTATTATATCTGATGATTTTGACAAAGCAGAACATTTTGCTGTTGTTTTCGAAACCAATTTCCAAGAAAGTGCCTCCATGAATATCAGTTCACATTCTCCGTGTTTTCCTGTAATGGAGGAAAAACCTGGTTTTTCTACTGATGACATATATAGGTTGCTGATCTCTTGGCCTCACTCAACTTCGCACACATCAGATTTGTTACCACTACATTTCATAAAATCAGTAGCACACATTATAGCCGGACCTCTTCAATTTTTGTGCAGCTTGAGTTTTATGAAAGCAGAAGTGCCAGCTAGATGGCGCACTTCATATGTTACACCAATACCGAAAAAGAAACCTATAGTTCTGCAAAAAACTTTCGACCTGTCAGTTATTACTTCTATATTTGCCAGACTTTTTGAGAAGATATTGAAGAAACATATAGTCAAACATTTGAATAAATACAAGGTCATCTCACCGTTTCAAGATGGATTTCAAAGTGGTAAATCTACCACTACAGCTATGCTCCAATCTCTAAATGATTGGACACAAAATTTTGATAACGGACTTAATACTGACATAATTTATCTCGATTTTACCAAGGCTTTTGATAAAGTACCTCATGTTAGATTATTGCAAAAGTTAAACATGGTCGGTATACATCCTCGCATTATCGCCTGGATCAATGCCTTCCTTGCGGACAGGTCTTTTTCGGTTCGCGTCAATACTTCATTTTCCAAACCTCGTATGAAGCATAGTGGAGTCCCACAGGGGGGAGTCCTCTCTCCTGTGCTGTTCAACATTTATACGTTTGAGCTACCAACTATTCCACTTAACCTGGGGGTTTCTTGTAGTGCATTCGCAGATGACTTCAAGCTGTATGCTGTTGTGGGGGATGTGTCTGGTTATAATGTGTTGCAAAAAGCCCTCGATCAAGTTTATAACTGGTCAAATGATTGGTCATTGCCCATTTGCGGGGAAAAAACTAAGGTGATCCATGTTGGACCGAGAAACTGCAATCCAAAGTTTAAGTATCTTGTGGGGATTCTTATCTCCAAGAAGTCAACTCAATAAGGGAACTAGGGTTCATAGTTAAGAGTAACCTCACTTTTGATGAACACTGTAAAATGATTGCAGACAAAGCCACAAGAACGGTCTATAATTTGTTTAGAGCATTTGAAAATAAAGATGCAGCTGTCTTCTTGCAAGCGTATAAGTCGTTCATAAGACCCATGTTGGAATATGGTACCGTGATTTACAATCCATATTTGTGCAAAACAATAAATTATATCGAGAAAGTTCAGAACAATTTCACTCGTAAACTTTTCATACGCAAAACAGGTTTTCAATACGATCTCATTCCAAACGGTAACATCCGGAATACAAATTTGGGACTCTCCTCACTCGCCTACAGAAGGCGCAAACTTGATCTTGTGATGGCTCATAAGACTGCATATAGTACATGTGGCTTAGAATTCAAAAAGTTCTTTCCAACCAGAGCATCCAATACAAGGGGAGGTAGTAGAAAGCTCATTATCCCTAGAGCCAGGTTAAAGCTACGCAAGAAATTCTTCACCTGCCGTATCGTTTAGGACATTGATAGGCTTTTGAGACGGCATTTGTTCCCTGCGAAGTTATCCCAGTTTAAGGCTGTTCTCAGGAAGTATCTGCAATTCAATGATAGCTAATTCTGATCTACTTGTTCTCTCACATGATCTTACAATTTACGAGTTGTTGTGCTATTAACTCTGATCTTCCATTGAGTTCAGGTGATCTTTGATATTTATGTGTTGTTGTTGTGGTTTTTTGTTGATGTTTTATAGTTCGTGTTGTTGAAACATAGGGTTATGCCTATGAATAAATGAATGAAATGAATGAATGGTTGCACGGCACATCTTAAGGCTAAGTGTGCATCTGCAGGGGAGAAGGTCAAGAGGCGCGATTTTTCTGGTTGTCATCAACTTAAAACTCCAGTTTCATGCTATGAGAGAATTCAAAAATGCCGGACAAAGTTCACTGCCTTACTAGCTGTTTGAAGTAACCACTCGATAAGTTTGACGACTTTTGCTAAAAAAAAAACTGACAGAGATACTTACGAAATTGCTGTTAACTGCATTTTCATGTGTTTTTGAACTTTAACAATTTTGCTTGGAATCGATTTCAAGATGATGAGATCGAACTCCCTGAATTCCCTAATATTTTTCTTTCAAAATTTCAAGTAATTCTAGAACCATAAAACACCAAATATGTGCTATATGTTGCCCATCTGGCAATAGGAATCGCGCCTCTTGACATACACCCCATCTGTAGCCCATATACTGGAAGGTGACAAGTTCTCCAGAGACTTCTAACAAAAAGTGGCCGCAAGTTCTGACCAACCTTAATTTTACCGTTTTCCCAAACCTTCCTTTCGTGTGCATGAAACTTCAAAATTTCTTGCCAAAGTGTTGAGCAGTGTGATTTGCATGTGATACCAAATTTTCGAGTCATTCTTTCCAGTACAGAGTAAGATATAGCGGAATCACAGAGCGGCTGCAAAATTATGGCCAGCACTGTATGCCTTGCTATTCTAATAATCTGTATCCCTCACTTTCAGTGATCTTTCGAGGGCTCTTGTACCCAGTGCCGATGCCAGCGCATTGCCATATAATTATGACCGGAGTTTTTCATTGCTGTGCTTGTACACCTCAAAACAGGTTGAATACGAATCTAAAAAGCTTACAAGCTCCTCTATTTCCCTGCAACCATCATTTACAAGCCAGTAGCCAGTACAACGATGTAGTTCTATGCTTGATTCGCAGCTATCGTCAATTCTGGTGTACACAAACAGTTTCTTTCAGTAACCATTCATCATGCACAAAAAAGCACAATGTTCGAATAATTTTGACATATTCAAGGCGATAAGAACAATGACCATGAGGCAGAACCACAGTGCTTACTTGAGATGTATCCCGTAGACTTAAAAATTGTACTGATAGCACATATACTTCGAGAGTTGCATAACTCCAAAATAAGGAATGCCCAAAAATGAGGTAGCTTATTCGAAATGACAGAGCAGATGTCAGTTTCCAACCAATTCAGTACAAACTTGACCGCTTACACTTCCGAGAGAAGGAAAAGGACGTAGCAAAGGACACCAAATAACGATAATGAGATTGAAGACGCTAATAACGCGGGGACTCCACCCTCAAAATTATCAATTTCGCCTATTACCGGATTAATTTTCTCCAAATTTCGAGCTAGGGCGCTGGCATGTAATGTACCCAATAAGCAGTGGCGTACCCAGGATTTCGGCTCGAGGGGGGGGGGGCGACAAAAAATTATTTCTGATTAAGGTGCGTGGCATTAGCCACGCACCCAGAAAAATTTTTTGGGTGCGTGTGTGATGTGAAAATAAAAAAATACTCTTCTTAAAATATCCACGGGCCCATAACCCCAAAATTTTAGAAAAAGGGCGTCAGCCACGCCCCCGAAAAAAATTTTTTTATAAGGCTAAATTGAATTTTTAAAAATTTTAAAAATTTTTTAAAATTATTTACAAGTATAAATAAGTCTCTTGCACATTTTTATAACTCATGTAAGTGACTTTCAAAAATTTCGCGACCCGTTCTCGGGGGGGGGGGGGGGGAGGGGGCGCGCGTCCCCCCTCCCTCGGTACGCCACTGCTAATGAGATATATAAAAGATGCTGATCCCCAAAAATAATGCCGAATAGATACTGGATACTTTTCCGTTATGAGGACCCAGGATCAGGTGAACCTGCGATGCACAGGGGGTAAGAGAACGAACTCCGTCAGTTTGAGCCCGCCTTCGCTGGCAACTGGTCTTTTGCTATATTGTTGCATGTCATTGCATGACCAGTAGTCCGCGGAGGCGATTCAAACTGGCGGAATTCGTTCTTCTACCTATGCACAGGCAATGATCAAAATTGTCTTCCTAAATGTGAGCTAAGTCTAAATATCTAACAATGAGATCAACTAAAAAAATAAACAGAGTCCCTAACATCGTTGATATCTAAGGATCCGGGTTGTACGTGAAGAGTAAACAACTTCTTAAAGTGAGCCAAGTCTTCTGCAGGCATTTGCTCTACACATGGTCCTAGATAATGCGAGTGAAGCCACTTGGAATACCTACAACCAGCGGGTTCAGGTGAAATATAAAATGGGACTGTGACGTACTGTTCTACTATAGGTTCGCTGTGTAACCTAACAAACTGCTCGCGACATACACGACTCATTTCGTCCACAGAGCAAGCATGTGTCCAAAAGCAGTCGTGCACAGCAGCAAAGGTTATACCTCTGCAAGAAACAATGATGGTGGCAAAAAAGCAGTGAGAGCCTGTATTTCCGTTTGATTATCAAGAAAGTTTTACAATCTTAAAAAAAACCTTCGTGAGCAATCCAGTGATGTTAGCATCATGTGACACGAGTCTAACGAATGAATCAAGTTGGGAGGAAAGGCACCCACCTAGACAAAAGAACCAATTTCATGCACAGTCGAATAGATTTTCCGCTATTGTGTACCATCTGCCCAAATCCTAACCAGACCAAATTGGGCATGATGGGAGTCCGTGTCGCGAGCGTATTGCGTCACATCTACGGCTAACTAGTCTGCTCTCGCCTCAACCTCTTCGCTTTCTGCGACAGCGCACGTATGCAGCGCAAACCCCTAGCACTGCGAGCGCGCAATTTCAGCTGATGGTTCGGCCCAGGGCTCAGCACAGCTGGCACCGGGTCAAGCTGGATATCGTTTTTAGCGCGGAAAGCAAAGGGGATATCGTTTCTACAGGGGCCGAGGCGGAGAACTGCCGCAAAAATGCCGCCGGCATGCCACCGGCATGCCATTGGCAAGCTATCCATCAACAAACAAAGGCGTTGTTTTCAGCCAAAACGCAATAGTATGACACCAAATTTGGTGTGTGCATGCGCGTTGGTGGACCGGAACTAAGGGCTGAAAATTTATGAAAACTTATGTGAATGAAAGCTGTGCCCAACTTTTTTCTGAATTGACTGGCACCGTGCCAGCTGGGTGCCAGCTGAGCTGGCACCGACACTTTGCTCACATAAGTTTTCATACTTTTTTACATAAAATGTATCTACACCGTAAAAGATTACATACGGAGAAGAAACAGTTTCATAATGTTCTCTTTTCAGCGTTTTATAGCAATTTGAAAACCACTCGGTCCGCTCCGCCGTCGAAAAATCGGCTTTTTCTGCTTCTCAAGATGTGATTCGACCACTTAAAAAGCTCAGAAAGCTGTGGAAAGTTCTTTCATGAAATCAGAAATGCATGAAAACATTACTACATTTTTTTTACATAATATAAAAATGATGACGGGTTTTCAAAACAGGTCAAAAAGGGCTTCCTACGAAATTTTCAATATCAAACGGGACTTCGTTTTGAAATTTCCCTGGTGCCAGCTCGTGCCGAGCCCTGGTTCGGCCTGATTCCGATTGGGGCAGACTGTAACTGGTGCCGAGAAAGCGGTAAAATTTGCGCGTAAACAAATGCTACGCCTGTGACGCCGGCCACTTGCGCGCGCAAAATTCCGGCATTACTGGCGTGGAATTTGCACACGCGCAAATTCTACCGCATTTCCTCGGCATCGCAAGCGCACTATATTACAGAAAAGTGCACTCGACTACATAATGGTGCAATAATCAATCCTTTCTTGTACCTGCTTTGTAGAAACCGGCACATGTATTATACGGCCTTGCTTCTCCTTTGCAATAACATAAGGCTGCACCACTGGCAGCCCAAGCGGTGTCACCCACTCCATAGTTTGTAGCAGATCGGAAACACCTTTAGCACAGTCTCTGAACCAATCCTTCAGCTTCCTAAATGAGTGGTAAAAAGCACCGCCCACCCATTTAGGTTGGTGAGAGTTTGACGTTGTATAATAGCAAGGCGCCTAACTGAATGATCGACCAAGTCTTGCTGCAAAAGACGGGCTTTGTAGCGGAAAACGCTCCAGGAAGTAGAAGCTGCCCAGGTGGCTCCGCCCGCCAACTTGGGTGCTTTAAATAGAAAAAGTCCAAAATCGGGCTACAATCTATCTGCAGTTGTCATTAATTCGCCCCTCATCATAATTACCAAATTTCGACATTTCTATCTACCCTACACCGCTCTCGCGCTCATTATCTTCAGACCACATACGCTGATGGACAGAGCTACCTGGGCAGCCTCTACCTTCTGGAGCAAATTTCTCGCTTCAGAATCCACCTTTTGCAGCGAAAGTTGGGCAATTACTTAGTTAGGGGGCTCGCTATATACAGCATTAGAATCTCGGAATGCTCAGTTTGGATGGGTAGACGGTGCCTCTAAATTTGAAAATTCAGGACATCTCATCTGAAAACGGGTACAGTGGTTAACCAAATCTTTACAAGTCCGAGGATTGCGGCTAAAAGAGGGCAGCGGTGAATAGGTTCAAGTGACACCAGCTTGAATGGCCGTGCACTAACGAGGGAAAGAAGGTTGGTCGAAGTGCCCTTTCAAAATGAAGGGTCTACTGTCTTGTAGAGCTTGGAACGCTGAATCCAAATCTACCTCTTCTATATGCTGCGAGCTTCTGGGCGAGGAGTTATAAAGGTTTTTGTGAGTAAAAATTTGAATGCAAGATTAGTATAAAATTAGTCGTAACCTTTTCCTAGCGTCCAAATGAGGCAGCAGCGAGTTGGTGTATTTGAATGAAGGAAAATTGTTGCACCGAGTGACCCGACTACTAGTTGTGTCCTAGAAAGAATGTTGCGATTGATTTTACTTTAGTCTTGCATTCAACATTTTACTCACAAAAACCTTCATAACTCCTCGTCCAGAAGCCGCAGCAGACGCAAATGCAGATTTGGAATTGGCGTTCCAAGCTCTACGAAAGAGCATCATCTCACTTTAAAAGACCACTTCGACCAACCTTCCTTTCCTTGTAAGAAAAAACATACGCAGAAAATATGCAACATTTTGTCCACGCACAAAAGGTCAGCGCAGAGAGAAGCGGCAAAGCTGACATATTTCATGACATGATTTTACTCGAAAACTTTCTTATATCAAGCTCATCAACTCTTTTGATAATTCAAACACAGTCATACACCGGGTTTTGCGGAAAAATGCTCGTAATGAACCATAGATCCAATGAGACTTACATAGAGCATGTAAATGCATCATGCAAGCTTGCAAACGTCTTATGCGTTAGATACTGAGCAAACCTTGCAGTCTAAAATTAGCGTGTTTAGCTCAGATGTGACCGAGTTGAATAGAGAAAAGGCTCGCCAATTCGTTGTCGATATCCAACGCCTTCAACTGACGCTTTATTTGCAGTGCGGCTCCATAAAGCGTGACACCATATACAGTAGTCATCACTGTTTGTTTGATCACCTTCAAGGTAGGAATTCAGATGCAGCAGCTTTAGTGGAAGCCATCATAAAAACCTTTCTCGGTACGGGCTGAGGTAATACTTCTCTTAAACGGCGAGCTATCTCCATATCAGGACCAGACTTTTCATCCTGCACCCTCTTTTGTTCCACTCTGTAATGTGCATTGGGAATATCGGACGAGTCCTTTAATTCAATTACCTAGCAGCCACAGACGAGTACACATCATTGGGTGTAGGGCTACTAAGAAGATTAACCTCCCGTCCACCTTCTTCATCACGCCCTAGAGCAGCGTAATGCTGTAAACCATTGCAGCTTCCATCTTGATGTACGGCGAGATGACTGAAAAAGAACTAAGTAGAAAACAGTACGAGATTATTTGACTTCGCCAATGAAAATTTGATCTGGGCGGTTTTCGATGAATTCTATCTGTGCCTGAGGAAACAACTTCCTAAGATAAGTCAATAATGAGCTCACACCTAATTGTAAGATTGCAGGTTAAATACGGAAATACCAGTAGCGGACCGAAGAAAGGAGGAGGAAGGGGGGTGGGGGACTATATCATCTACTATAATAATTCGCGATCACTACGTATAAAAGCATGAATTCGTGCACTTTCCCTAAAAGATAGCAGATGGTAGACCAGGAGAAGCCAGACGAGATGCGGACACGCCCCTTGTGTATTCAATATGAGACATGTTTTCATTTGTACCGACCGAACCGTCTCGGATTTTTTTCGCGCATAGCTGTCGCCTAAGGACAAATTCCACAGATCAGACTGTAAACATACCATCACGTGTGGCATATCAACAGTCTAAAGATGATGTTTTCCCATAAGTCACATGATTACATAGGCTATCCTTGAGCAACATCCATAAAATAACGAGGCAAATGTTCCCCTGGTCGAGGTTCAATATGCTGTCGCCATTATCATGAAAAGTCGCCTCGTGCAAGGTTGTTGCCGCATCGTCTTACGTAGGTTTTATCTACTAAAATCTTTTGCTTGCAGGTGGTGAAGATTTTCAACATTTCCAGTTTATGTTTCTGCCTTTGTGCGTTTACGTTTACTTATCGTTTTTTTGTTTCGTTCTTCTCTGCTTACACAAAAACTATATCGCACAAAGTAAGTGGGTCTCATGGTAGAGCCAAAACCTGATGCTTTTCGGAGCATGTTTAGGAAATACTGCGAATTTGATGGAAAATTGCTTTTCCAAGCTTTTGAGAAAATCTAACTTTTGTTGTATTCCGAAAAGCGTGAAACTGCGTCCTCTTGTCAGAGGCGACGCCTCAGAAGAAAAAAAACACTTAGATAACTACGCAGCGCAGATAATGTCGGAAATTTTGATCAAAAATGTTATCTGATGGACTTGTAGAAAGATTAATTTGTGTAAATGGGTGTCGCTGGTGAGGACGAGGTTTTATCTCAGGCTAATCTTGCTTTCGCTTCCAGAATTGAAACTGCTCGAGTAATTGGGTATTGCTGGTGGACACGAGTATATGTTTGTGAAAATGATCCTTGTTATATATTAGGTCATCCCAAAAGTTTTTTCATATCAGACTTTTCACCAGCATAAGTCTGCTCTTCTTAGACTTCTGTTGAGAAGCGGAGTACCATTCGAAAGAGTAAAGCAAGCCCTACAATATGGCTCTCAAAAGTTCGCACCAGGTTTGATTCGCATCGAGTTTCAAGACAAAATGGAAAAAAATCCAAAAAACGAATAATCAAAAAAATCATATCTTAGTTCAAAAACATTCTGCAAAGTTCCCACTTGCTCACGCATACATTTTCTCCATCAGACATTTATATATACACCTACTGCATTTTTCTGACGGCTAGAAATCGAGAAAAAAATAAAGCCCTTAATTTTTAAACTTTGCCTGTAATGAGTCTATGTTCCTCGCCATTGTGTCATTATATAGCTTATTCACTCAAGAATACTCCCACAAATTTGCACCCTTCTAAACGTCTTAGTTCTAGAGAAATATCATTTTGGAGGTACGAATATATGAAAAAACTTTTGGGATGACCTAATAGAAAGAAAGCGTAAGCCCGCTTTGGGTATGTTACAGGGTCTCGCTGATGGAGATGGGCTTCCACTTGGAAAAATCCAACGCTCGAATGGGTGGGTCTCGTTGGTGGAGGAAAGCGACGCTTCGGGTAACGATCTCACTCGTGGAGATGAGCTTCCACTTGGGGAAATCCAACGCTTCAGTAAGTGCTCTAGATGGTGGAGGAAAGCGTTTACTCGGCGAAATTCAATGCCTTGGGTAACGTTTCTCGCTGGTGGAGATGAGCTTCCATCTGGGAGAATCCAACGCATAAATAACTGGGTTTCGCTGGTGGAAAAAAGCGTTTACTCGGCGAAATTCAATGCTTTGGGTAACTGGGTCTCGCTGATGGAGATGAGCTTCGACTTGGGAAAATCCAACACTTCGATGATTGAGTCTCGTTGGTGGAGAAAAGTGGCGCTTCAGGTGGATAACGATCTCACTCGTGGAAATGAGCTTCCACTTGGGGAAATTCAACGCTTCAGTAAGCGCTCTTGATGGTGGAAAAAAGCGTTTACTCGACGAAATTCAATGCTTTGGGTAAGTGGGTCTCGCTGATGGAGATGAGCTTCGACTTGGAAAAATCACGCTTGAATGACTGGGACTCGTTGGTGGAGGAAAGCGGCGCTTCGGGTGGATAACGATCTCACTCGTGGAAATGAGCTTCCACTTGGGGAAATTCAACGCTTCAGTAAGCGCTCTTGATGGTGGAGGAAAGCGTTTGGCGAAATTCAATGCTTTGGGTAAGTGGGTCTCGCTGGTGGAGATGAGCTTCGACTTGGGAAAATCCAACACCGATGATTGAGTCTCGTTGGTGAAGGAAAGCGGCGCTTTGGGTAACTGGGTCTCGCTGGTAGAGATGAGCTTCCACTTGGGAAAATCCAACGCTTCGATGACTGGGTCTCGTTGGTGGAGAAAAGCGGCACTTTGGGTGATGGGTCTCGTTGGTGGAGGAAAGCGACGCTTCGGGTAACGATCTCACTCGTGGAGATGAGCTTCCACTTGGGGAAATCCAACGCTTCAGTAAGTGCTCTAGATGGTGGAGGAAAGCGTTTACTCGGCGAAATTCAATGCCTTGGGTAACGTTTCTCGCTGGTGGAGATGAGCTTCCATCTGGGAGAATCCAACGCATAAATAACTGGGTTTCGCTGGTGGAAAAAAGCGTTTACTCGGCGAAATTCAATGCTTTGGGTAACTGGGTCTCGCTGATGGAGATGAGCTTCGACTTGGGAAAATCCAACACTTCGATGATTGAGTCTCGTTGGTGGAGAAAAGTGGCGCTTCAGGTGGATAACGATCTCACTCGTGGAAATGAGCTTCCACTTGGGGAAATTCAACGCTTCAGTAAGCGCTCTTGATGGTGGAAAAAAGCGTTTACTCGACGAAATTCAATGCTTTGGGTAAGTGGGTCTCGCTGATGGAGATGAGCTTCGACTTGGAAAAATCACGCTTGAATGACTGGGACTCGTTGGTGGAGGAAAGCGGCGCTTCGGGTGGATAACGATCTCACTCGTGGAAATGAGCTTCCACTTGGGGAAATTCAACGCTTCAGTAAGCGCTCTTGATGGTGGAGGAAAGCGTTTGGCGAAATTCAATGCTTTGGGTAAGTGGGTCTCGCTGGTGGAGATGAGCTTCGACTTGGGAAAATCCAACACCGATGATTGAGTCTCGTTGGTGAAGGAAAGCGGCGCTTTGGGTAACTGGGTCTCGCTGGTAGAGATGAGCTTCCACTTGGGAAAATCCAACGCTTCGATGACTGGGTCTCGTTGGTGGAGAAAAGCGGCACTTTGGGTGATGGGTCTCGTTGGTGGAGGAAAGCGACGCTTCGGGTAACGATCTCACTCGTGGAGATGAGCTTCCACTTGGGGAAATCCAACGCTTCAGTAAGTGCTCTAGATGGTGGAGGAAAGCGTTTACTCGGCGAAATTCAATGCCTTGGGTAACGTTTCTCGCTGGTGGAGATGAGCTTCCATCTGGGAGAATCCAACGCATAAATAACTGGGTTTCGCTGGTGGAAAAAAGCGTTTACTCGGCGAAATTCAATGCTTTGGGTAACTGGGTCTCGCTGATGGAGATGAGCTTCGACTTGGGAAAATCCAACACTTCGATGATTGAGTCTCGTTGGTGGAGAAAAGTGGCGCTTCAGGTGGATAACGATCTCACTCGTGGAAATGAGCTTCCACTTGGGGAAATTCAACGCTTCAGTAAGCGCTCTTGATGGTGGAAAAAAGCGTTTACTCGACGAAATTCAATGCTTTGGGTAAGTGGGTCTCGCTGATGGAGATGAGCTTCGACTTGGAAAAATCACGCTTGAATGACTGGGACTCGTTGGTGGAGGAAAGCGGCGCTTCGGGTGGATAACGATCTCACTCGTGGAAATGAGCTTCCACTTGGGGAAATTCAACGCTTCAGTAAGCGCTCTTGATGGTGGAGGAAAGCGTTTGGCGAAATTCAATGCTTTGGGTAAGTGGGTCTCGCTGGTGGAGATGAGCTTCGACTTGGGAAAATCCAACACCGATGATTGAGTCTCGTTGGTGAAGGAAAGCGGCGCTTTGGGTAACTGGGTCTCGCTGGTAGAGATGAGCTTCCACTTGGGAAAATCCAACGCTTCGATGACTGGGTCTCGTTGGTGGAGAAAAGCGGCACTTTGGGTGATGGGTCTCGTTGGTGGAGGAAAGCGACGCTTCGGGTAACGATCTCACTCGTGGAGATGAGCTTCCACTTGGGGAAATCCAACGCTTCAGTAAGTGCTCTAGATGGTGGAGGAAAGCGTTTACTCGGCGAAATTCAATGCCTTGGGTAACGTTTCTCGCTGGTGGAGATGAGCTTCCATCTGGGAGAATCCAACGCATAAATAACTGGGTTTCGCTGGTGGAAAAAAGCGTTTACTCGGCGAAATTCAATGCTTTGGGTAACTGGGTCTCGCTGATGGAGATGAGCTTCGACTTGGGAAAATCCAACACTTCGATGATTGAGTCTCGTTGGTGGAGAAAAGTGGCGCTTCAGGTGGATAACGATCTCACTCGTGGAAATGAGCTTCCACTTGGGGAAATTCAACGCTTCAGTAAGCGCTCTTGATGGTGGAAAAAAGCGTTTACTCGACGAAATTCAATGCTTTGGGTAAGTGGGTCTCGCTGATGGAGATGAGCTTCGACTTGGAAAAATCACGCTTGAATGACTGGGACTCGTTGGTGGAGGAAAGCGGCGCTTCGGGTGGATAACGATCTCACTCGTGGAAATGAGCTTCCACTTGGGGAAATTCAACGCTTCAGTAAGCGCTCTTGATGGTGGAG